TCGAAAAGTGCCGATGGGTGACCAGGCGTTTGTCGGGAGGTGACACGCTGCGCCAGAATGTCAGTTTCCAACGCCCGCGGTAAAACGCACATTTAACCTCTAACCTCTTGCAATTTAACCTTCCCCTCACCCCCATCCTACCGTAACCCAGTTGGAGAGGGACGTTACAACTAGAAACAGTTTTGCTAGAGGGTTAAAACTTAAACCTGCTGGACACAGCCCCCAAGGCCCGGAATTAAATAGCCCTGCACTACAGCCTTTACCTGTGGGCTGAATGAGGCCCACATGATTCCTCCTCCCAGGAGTCACATTTACCAGGACCTCTGTTAGCCAATGATAAAATTGCTAGCTGACATGCTAGCGCTGGAGTGTGCTTCCAGCATGTTTTTGATCGTAAACACATCAGATTTGTTTCATTTAGTGATAGATCATTCCTGTAGAAACTAATGAAGACTGAGGAGACATTACAGCAGTTAGATTAACGTGTTAAAAACACAAACCCACAGCGAGGAGGAGAGTTTCAGTTTTGGTTTTATCCATCCATCCAATCATTTTTACCCGCTTATCCGGAGTCAGGTCACGGGGGCAGCAGACTAAGGCGAGAGGCCCAGACTTCCCTCTCCGCAGCCATTTGGGCCAGCTCCTCCGGGGGAATCCCAAGGCGTTCCCTGGCCAGGTGAGAGACATAGTTCCTCCACTGTGTCCTGGGTCTACCTTTAGGTCTCCTCCCGGTTGGATGTGCCTGGAAAACCTCACCAGATGTCCGAGCCACCTCAGCTGGCTCCTCTCGATGTGGAGGAGCAGTGGGTCTACTCTGAGTACCTCCCGAATGACCGAGTTTTTCACCGTATCTCTAAGGGAGAGCCCAGCCACTCTTCAGAGAAAACCCATTTTGGCCGCTTTTATCCGCAATCTCATTCTTTCAGTCACTACCCAAAGCTCATGACCTTAGGTGAGGGTAGGAACGTGGATCGACCGGTAAATCGAGAGCTTTGCCTTCAGACTCAGCTCTCTCTTCACCACGACAGACCGGTACAACTCCCCCATTACTGCAGATGCAGCACCAATCCGCCTATCGATCTCATGCTCCAGCTTTCCCTCACTGGTTAACAAGACCCCGAGATACTTAAACTCCTCCATTTGGGGCAGGACCTCATCCCTGACCCTTTCAGTTTTGGTTTTAGCAGAGTGAATTAATAACAGACTCTAGGGGGTGCTAAAAGCAAGCCAAAACTGCAAAGGGTTCCTTTAAATCATATGTGTCAGACACAAGGCCCGCGGGCCAGATGTGACCCGCGGAGCATTTTTATGTGGCCCGCGAGATAAATACCAAAAATATATTGAAACAGACCCGCTGGCCGATTTTACTGCTAAGACTACAACTCCCATGATGCTTTGCAGCGTTAGCGCGGAGCCGAAGCGCCCCCTCCTTTGTGTTTTTTCCAGCGTCTGCTGCAGGTGTCTGCAGCTCCACTGTCTCGGACAAACTAAACACTCCTCTCACTCAGCGCCAAGTTTACTCAGAAATTTACCGACGTTGAAGCCCAGAAACGGAGATTTTAACCACTCAGTAACGTGTTCAGGACTGAAAGAGAAAGTTTTCCAACTAACGTCCAGACAGAGCTGATATAACTCCAGCGAGCAGCGACACGCTCAAGCCAGCACGACTCTGTGGCTGCTGTCGTTGTGTTTCCTCCCCGCCACACAACAACGTGGTCAAGCTGCTCAGACATGTTCATCAGCTCAAACCCATGTGAGCACCTGTTGTCATCTAATGTTGTCATTATTATGATGAAGATGAACAAAACAACAGGAGTCTCCTCCTCAGCTCAGATCAACCCCATGATGCGGGTATCTGGCTGGAACAGGTGAGCATCACAGTAAACCAGGAACTCGAAAGGCTGCAGATAGATGAATAGAATAGAAAATCCCTTTACTGTTCCTCAGTGGGGAAAGCTAGACGTCACAGCAGCGATGACACTTATTACAGGAGAAAAAAGGTTGAATAAAAAATAAGAAAAATGAATAAACAAGAAAACATAAATCCTGATTAGATTTCAAAAATGCTGAATATATCACAAGTAATGAATACCACTGATGCCTTTTATTTAAAACTGACTTGCTCGTGTGTAATCTGGTTATTCCACATTCAGTGTTAATGCAGAAATAAGTTTGTTTCCAAATTAAAAGGTTCAAAATTGCATATATGTTGATAAAGAAAATGTGCAAATTTGCCGTCACTTTTTCAAAAAATATTAAGTTTGGCCCTCGACTCCGTCCCAGAGTTTCATTTCGGCCCCGTGTGAATTTGAGTTTGACACCCCTGCTTTAAAAGGATCTTCGTCACTGGTATGCTAATCAGGTGGTTTTCCTCTCATAATTCTGCACTTAAGTTTGTGCCTTGTGCCTTCCTTACTTGTTGGACAGTTTGTCTTCACAGCTGTGTTGTTGATAGGATAACAATATAAGAGGTATAAAAAACAACCTGGCCCTCCTGTAGATTCTCCATCAGAGGACAGTGGTAATGTAGGCACGTATAGGACAACGGCTGGTTTTTGGTCAAAGGACTAATCCTGCGGCATGAGGTAGATACCAGAGCTTGCTAGATCTGCTCAGGGCCCTGCGTGGGCCATTGATGTCACTACACTGCACCCTGATATTTAACAAGCTAAGCACTAAAATCAGCAAATCTACCCAAAAAAGCTCAAAACTATTAAAATTTTTGAATTTATGAAAGTGACTAACAGCAGCCAGCAGTAAATTCCTTCAATTGTCTGTTAATGTTTAGTTTGTGACTTAACAAAAAGAAAGAAAACTTTTAGACAATGAAATAATTCTCTTCTGCCCAGTATCTACACCCACATAAATTACACAAAAGTGTGCACACAAAACACACGTGCATGCTTCAGTGGTGAGTCAGTGTGATCAAGAGTCCTGAGGGAGTGTTCAGTCCGAGAAACTTCATTGCACCGCCTAATTGATAGGAGTTTCTGTGTGGGTTTGAGTGTGTGTGAAAATAGAACGAGCTAACTGGAAGACACAAATTTAACAGACCAAGCAACGCCTCAAAACTCTGGCTAAAAAGACCATTCCTGTCAATCATGTGCAAAATTTGGGGTCTGAGAGGTGTTTGAATCTTTGGCTTGTTCATGGCTTTCTGAGATCACGAGACAACCATGAAATAACTTAGCTGAAGAGACCTGAACCCCTTAGACGCACACAAAACTCCATTCTCCACTTCCCACTCACAGCACGCAGATTCAAGGTAGAGGGATTCTTTTATGATGTGTGCGCAGCTAATGTAGCAGTTACAGCTACTTATTGGAAGAAAAATGGCTGACATGGAGTGTGGACAGGAACAGCTGTGTAAAAAGGACAGAGAAATAAGCTTGAAAATGGTAGGAAATGTGATTCTATAAACATTATTTTTAGTGCATTTGAGGGGGGTTTCTTTCTCAAGACTGTTTCACTTCTATCTTTTGCTTTTATCTCTGTTTTTATTTGTATTTATGCATATCTTTGTTGGCCCTTGCAGGGGTTATCGATGTTTTAATTTCTTTTTATGCATGTACAGCACTTTGGTTCATCTCTTGGTCAATGGAAAGTCCTTTAGAAATGAAATTAATGATAAAGTGAACTTTGAGGTTTCTATTAGTAGCTGTTAATGAGCAAACTGGGCTTTTATTCCCACAATAAGTCCTAAATTCAATCAGATCTTCTTATTCATGCTTTCATTACATCCTGTGTGGAATTTTATGAATGTTGGTCTTAATCAATCATCATTTAAATTACAGAGTCTTAAAAATGCAGCAGTCTTTTAATGGAGATGAAACAGAATGAGAAGGGTCCTTGCATCCTCTTGACTCTGGCTTCCTGTTCGATTCAGGATCCTGTTTAAAACTTTGCTACTTGGTTTTAAATGCCTTAGCAACTTGAGTTTCCATTGTCACACTTCTACTGGAAATCAGGTGCTTTGGGATTCTCTCAGATCCCGGACAAGCCCCCAATTTGTTAGGGCCTGTCTAAACAACCATAGCAACACAGAAGAGGACATGTAAGGAGTCAGTTTAAACAGTTTTATTAGCCAAAACGAACTAAAGGAATGCCTGGAACCAAATATAAATCTGCCTGGAACTGAATAAAAGATTGTGAGTAGTTTTTCCATTTCCCAGGTGGAGCTAATTGATTTAACAGTGGTACTGGTCACCTCTATGGAAACACCTAAACATAAAGACACACACAAAGAGCAACATAATAACCTATGGTATGGACCTCAGGCCTAAAACAAGCTCAAAGCCAGAGGTGTCAAAGTATTTCTAGCAAATTATCTTGAGTATTAAGCATTTAAAGAGACAATGTGTAGCTTTTACCATTAATCTCTGGAAGCAGCCATTGAAATGTTGAAAATAAAATAAATGATGCCCACTTGTTGAAAAATATTGGCAGCTTCGTAACATATAACCATAAAAAGCAGTTCTAAAATACACAGGAGCAGGTCTAAGTCTCTGGGCAACGCCGTATTAGACACCATGTTTCCTTCGACGTGAGCCCATGAGGACAAAACGCATTTACTGATTTGTAACGAGCGGTTACAAAACTTTTTCCATTCATAAACGTTGTTTTTTTACACATTTACTTCTTCACTCGTTTCCAGTGATGTGCTTGTCATTTTGCTGGAGGTCAAATGATCTGACAAAGTGCATGTTCGAAAACATCCCTCCCAGGGATTTTTGACTCTGATAACCTTCCATTGGTAAGGTCTTACTCGAACACAAAAATATCTCTTGCTTGCATTGATTTAGATATGCACTGCCCACTATCGTCAGGAGAAATACTCATCATCACTTTAATGTTACGTCTTACATAATATTTTATTGCTTTCGTGTTGTACCAAATTAGAATTTTTATTGATTTATTCACCCAATAATCACTTGTAAAAAAAAAAAACAAGCCAACAGATAAATATTTAGGTATATTTTGTGCCATAAATGTACACCAGAAAGAAAAACATTCTATTTTAAAGTGAACTGAATTTTGGACTCATAAATAACTTTTAGGTTTCACACAAATAAATATTTATCAGCATGTTCTGAAATAACCAAAACAAGCTATTTCATGGCAACAAATTACACAAGAATAAACAGGGGTGAATTCCAAGGAAGGTGTGAAGATATGTTTTTTCTTCTACCTTAATTTAAAAAACACACTCTCTTAAAAAGTAACTAATAATTACACATTTATAAACTAATCAAAACCTCAATTAACTTCTGAGGATTAAACATAGCCTGCTCCCAATAGAAGATATGAAGGGAATGGGAAGCATTTCTGTGGAAGAAACAAGCTAAACTAAACTAAAAGTTTTAAAACAATAAAGAGAAAAACTAAAGATATATAATAACCATAATAAATGTTAGCACACTTTGAATCATATTTATCGACTGAACCAGCATCAAGAAAGTTGAAATAAGTCTAAAAACCAGCAAAAAGCTTATTTCCGACTGCAGTGAAGGCAGTCTTCTCCAGCTGTCCCAGGTTGCTATGGTAACCAGTGTTTACCTTGGCGGCAGCCACCATTTGTAGGCCTGCATTTAGCTGCAGCATTTATCCTCTTTAGCTGCTTAAAACCAGAAATTGCGTGTTTGGAGGAAATAAAACAGGAAGAAGAGTTGAAACTAAGCAGGTGGGTGACGTTTACTGACATCTAACCATAAATAAGTGCTCAACATGAAGGAGGTGTCTCACTTTATCCCAGGGAAACCGGTAAAACAGGACTTCTGGCAGAAGTCAAAGCATATTTTGTTTTGCTTGTATTCAATATTTTATTTTGTTTCGCAAAACGTCAGACAGCTATTAAAGGTCTAGTTATTCTTTTAGTTTTATTCTGTATTTTAAATAATAATTTGATAGGAAACATGAGCTTGTTTCTTTTGTTTTAGCCTCATTGTCACTAGTTGTCTCAGGTCAGCTGATCACGGATCATCACAAACCTCCCTTGGGATGTCCTCTCTGATCTTACATCTCTCCTTTAAACATCCTCTTCTCCTTTGGCCTTTGGCTTCCTGTGAAGTGTTGATAGTTGTTTAACTGTTGTTTTATTTGCTTTTTTTTAACTTTTATGTATTTTTATTCTTGTGTTGTGTGAATGCTGCTCTTTCTCTTATCTAAACAAAAAATAAGATAATTATTCTTTTAACTGTAACTATGCAGAATTGCTAAAATCAGAAATCTGATACTTTTCAGAACAGTGAATGCACCGTTGAGACGCAGCAATAAGAAAAGTAAATCTGACATTTCCCTGTCCATGAACTTCTGGAATCATAATTTTTACATTAATCCAAAACAGAAAGTTATCACAAACCTCATTCAGTGCTTTTTCTATTTTTCATCAACATTTAAAGAGCAAATCACCCCCAAATCAACTTTTTTTTGCTGGCAACCTGCAAGAATGAGTGTCTAATATGCTGTAGACGTGAGTGGTCATTAGTTTGGCATTTTAGGGCATCTTATTTACATTTCAATAATCCAGCCTAAAACTATCAGTGTAATCGGGTTAAAACTCAGCACTACGTTGAATTTGAATCAGCCATTGCTATTTGTTAAGAGGTACCCAGGGACGTTGCCTGTACAGTATTACATGGCTGCACTGCAACCAAGTCTCTCACAGGCCTCCGACTGGCTCAACTACTCACGAGTCATTTTGTTTTTCTAGTGGCTCATGAGGCGTGCTCCTTAAATAATGCACTCCTCCCTTTCCTCTTGTGAAGGACAATATCCTAGAGTCTGCTTCTAGTTCCTCTGGTGTGTGTGTGTGTGTGTGTGTGTGTGTGTGTGTGTGTGTGTGTGTGTGTGTGTGTGTGTGTGTGTGTGTGTGTGTGTGTGCGTGCGTGCGTGCACGTGCGTGTGTGTGTGCTTGTTATCAGCTGGTTCCGCCATCTGACACACTCCAAGAGCATGCTAGGGGGGTTGGGATGCTGTCAGTCACTGCGTCAACTCCACTCTGTCATTCTGCTAGGCAATGCCTCCAGTAAAGGTTGGTTTATGCTTGACGCGTCCGCGAGGTCCGCACGGCTCCGCACGGAAAAGTTGCGTCATTTTGCGTCATTTTAACAACCACGCCCCTCCACCACGTCTCTGCACGGCCCAGAATTTCCGCAACGCACACCTCGGAAAATTTCTAACCACGCGGATGGACAGACGCGGAAAAACATGGCGGACTGGCAAGAACTAGTATGGCAGAGGTTCATAAATACAGACATTTGTATGATTCAGCTCTCAGAGATCACCGTGATCAACATGTTGTTAATAATTCTTGGAGAGAAATAGCTCGCACTGTCGGAAAAGACGAGAACGCTGTTAAAAATGCTGGAATGCCATGTTGTAAACAGTAATTTCTACTTCTACTATGGTGTAGTGTTGGATGCATGCTGTAGAGCTCCATGCTGCCCCCTACAGTTTGGGAGAATATTGGCTCACCGCAGAGACGAGCCGCACAAACCATAAACGCTGCGAGTTGTGAAGCGCGTTCCATCCGCGAGCCGCATCACCGCGCGGAAAGTGAATGCGTCAAGCATAAACCAAGCTTTAGTGTGAGTTGATTAAGACTGTGGTAGGGAGGTGACTTGCTCTTTAAGTTTCAGAATCTCTCTGAAGGCATAAAAACTGTGAATAGACACATGGAACAATAGGAATTACGTAGATTTTATATTCCTGAAAGAAGCCGTCCTTTTCTTTTCTGGCAGTGCTGCAAACCTCTCAGCCTTCATGACTGAGTCACCTGAAATGGTTTTCACTTAACTGGTGTGCCTTGCTGGAGTTTATTTCAGGATTTTCTTGCCTTCTTTATAGGGTGGGACCATCAGTCGTGTTGTGCAGAAGTCAGCTTGGTGCACAGTTTACAAAATCACAAGAACCCTGAAAGTGTCCTTAAGCACAGCTGCAACAACCATCAAGCTCTACCATGGAACTGGCTCTCGAGGACCGCATGAGGAAAGGAAAACCCTTAGTCACCTCTGCTGCTAACTGTTAACCGTCACACAGAGTTTTAGCAGACACGTCTACCACAACCGGTCAGAAGAGACCAGGTGGTCTCATTTATAAAACATTGCGTAGAATTCTTACTAAAACTGTACTTAAGTTCAGCCAAAAAATGTACTTAACGCACAGCTGCACGCAAGGTCCACTTTTCCTGGGATTAATAAAGTATTTTTGAATTGAATTTATAAATCAGAGACTAACGAGAAAGGTTCTCAGCTGTTTCTGAATCACATCCCACCCTCAACACGCCCACTTTCTGCCATAAATAGTCAATGCAAAATGCCTTGTGGACCTTATGCACACAAGCCGGCTTGTTGCAGCATTTCGATCGCGACCACAGATCAAGGAAGCGCAATTTCACAGAAGCAGAAATTGAGGTATCTGTGGGTGAGGAGGAGAAATGAAAGGAAGTGCTTTTGCAAAACAAATAAGAGAAAATCCACGGAGTGGCACAACGTTGCTGAAGCCGTCAATGCTGTGAGTTCTTCAGAGTGATCTGTGTCGGATATGTTCGGTGTGAAAATGAAGCAGTACAAGTGATAATGCTGCTGGATTTCATAATTGTATCCTTCTCAGCAGCAGCACTGCAGGTGCTCTCCATGTCCAAAATGTGCGTAAGCCAGGTCCTTAGTCAATTTCAAGTTGCGCACATTTTTCCACTACATTTTCTTTTATAAATCCCAAAGTTTACGTGGAAAGTTGCTTACGCAGTTTTCTGACCCCGTTTAGTGCGTAAGCAAGCTTTATAAATGAGGCCCCTGGCTGTTATGGTTCAGAGCTGCTAACAAACCACAACTAAGAAAAAGCAACAAGCGGGAGAGATCTGCTTGGGCCACGACATACAGGTAATACATTAGACCCATGGATTTCTGTTCTACGAGGTTTTTTTTTATTCCAGCCACTGCCTTTGTCTCTAAAAGCACGGTCCCCAGTCCCACTGTGAAACATGGAGAAGACGTGTCGGCGTGTGGGTATTTCATAGATGTTACTGTTTGGGATTTACTAAGACACACTGAACCAGCATGGCTACCACATCTTCCTGCAGCAGCATTCCATGCCATTCCATTGGATGTAGCTGGACCATAGTTTATTTTTGAACAGGACAATGACCCTAAACGCATCTCCAGGTTGTTTTAAGGACTGTCTGACCAAGAAAGAGGGTGAGCCAAATCACCTGACCTCCACCCTATCAAGACGGTTTGGGATGAGGCAGTCTCTGCGCTACTTTAGCAGGACATGTCCCTGTCCCCGTTCCCGAGAAGGCTGTGTAAACACAACCTGACCATGCGGGGGTGGGCTGTCTCCACAAAGCCCAGGCCAAGCCAACGACTGTTGGAAAACCATTTCAGCTAACAACTGCATGAAGCTCATCAGGAGACTTCCAAGAGTGTGCAGAGCTAACAATTTAAACAGGACGAAGCTTCAGGATCAGACACCACACTCAATAACTACTCAATAACTCTGCTGTCTGAATACCTGGAAATGTAAAACGTCTCACTCATGTCTGATGTCACACTGATGTCACACACATGTGTCGTGGATCGTCCTGGAGCACCTGTGAGAAGATGTCTATGTTCTGAGGTCATAGAAATACACACCAATCACACAGGTTTTGTGAGCTTTAATGTTTGGTTTCAGGGAGGAAGAAGAAGCCGAGTCCTCGGCGTTTCAGGATGAAGAGCTAAAACCAAAACCCCAGAATCCACATAGCCCGCACTCCAGACTCACAGGTTGATTCAAAGATAATAAATATGTTACTGTGGAGAAGTTTAAGATCTGTTGGTGGTGACTGCTGTCAGACAGGAAGCACAGAAGACCTGAAGGCTCCAGCAGAGCTGAAGATGAAGGTACTGGAAGCCAACACGTGTAGTTTCAAAACAAGAAAGAACAAAAGGCCTGACAAAAGTTTAATGTGTGATTCCAGTTCCTCGAAGCTGTGAGAACCAAACAGCATCAGCAGGCCAGGAAGCTGTGTTGGATGAGTGAGTCTGAGGAATGTGTTTTCTGTCAGGCAGCAGCCAGGACGCCTCTAATGCCGCTCCTGTTCTTCCGGTTCTCCTCCGGGAACCAGATAATCCAGAAGCCTCTGAGTTCCTCCTGCTCATCCAGGCAAAGCTACTGACAGGTTTGAGTCACACAGAAAAAGAAGTTTGCTTCCTCTTTCCTCGCCGTGTCTGCAATCCGCCTCAGTTTTGTTTAGGAGAAGAGGGAGATGAAGACTCTGAGAGGGGTGAGAGGTTGTACTCTTCTTCATCAGAGGAAGATGAAGACACATAAGAAAAGGCTTCTGTTAACACCTTCCTACACACACACACACACACACACACGTAAAAACTACAAATCTTTTGTGAATTTATTTAAAATCATTTAAATAATTTAGAAATTCACTTGTCAGAAAATAGCATCAAGTTCACTTTTTACATAAACAACATCTGATATTTTATTTATTAAGGAACTAAATAACAGGTGTTAAACATCTTGTTTGTGATGGAAATTTAAAAGAAAAATCCCCCCCCCCCCCCCCCCCCCCCCCATAGGGGGCGCTCCAGGATTATGGGCCTTTGCTAAGGGCCATCCAGTCCCTGTACCAGTGGAGCGGGCTGTAAGTTGGACCTGTTCCCAGTGAGGGTTGAACTTCGCCAGTGCTCCGTCTGCTTCCGAACAGATGAACATGTCAACACTTCCAACACGTGATTCACTTTAGGCCAGCTTCAGTTCCAAAGCCCTCAAAGTCCTTGACATCATTGCACCTGAAAAACTCAAAATTATCTCTGGCAAACAGAAAGCTCCATGGAGGTTCTCTAGATCTGTTACTTACCAAAACTGAGAACGTAGAAAAGCAGAGCGCCGATTCAGTAAAACTAACCTACCAGATCACTATCAGACTTTCAAAATGCTGCTGCGTACTTATAACACGGAGATACAAAAAAGTGTGACAAACCTTTTTCCCAAAAGTCATCAGTGACAACGTTAACAATTCCCGTGTTCTGTTTGCTACTGTTGAGAGGCTAACTCATCTCCCAGCACAGTTAGCCCAGGATTTCATATATCAGACTAAGTGTGATGAGGTTGCATCCTTTTTCACTGACAAAATCACAAACATTAGATCAGCCATTCATTCCTCTAAGTCAGGGGTGTCAAAGATGCGGCCCGCAAGCGGGTTTAATCCGGCCCGCGAGACGGTTGTGTAAACTTTATTTTCATACTTTACAATGTAGAGTGAAAATAAACTTATCTTTGTGAGCAAGTTTTCTCTGTAATGAGTATAAATAAAACAAAGCTGCGCTCAAGGCTCACACAAGAACTTGAATCACATCCTGAAGTTGGCTGCCACTCAGGATGTGACTTCTGATGTTGATGTGCTGGTGAAGCTAAACGATGTAAAGTAAAATGAGTCAAATATACTTTAAGTGCTGCATGAAACGGATCTTGCCATGTGATCTGTGAGCTCTTTGAATCACTAAGGAATGTTTTTTTATTTATTGATTTTATTTTATTTTTTTTTTCAAATTTTCAAGTACACTTCAGGTGTTTTACTTGTACTACACTGTCCTCAGGCTCCAGCCTTGTTTTATATTGATTGAATTAAAGCAAAAATAACAATCTCAAGTTTTTTTTTTCATTTACTGGTCCGGCCCACCTGGGACTAGATTTCCCTCAATGTGGCCCCTGAGCTAAAATGAGTTTGACACCCCTGCTCTAAGTCAACTAACACAACCAGAAAACTGACACAGCCACACAGCAACAACCTGGCTTTAATGACAGCTTTCCTTCTGATTAGTATTAAAACACTTGAGGACATGAAGACCTTGAATTCTTCTACCTGCTGTCTGGACAGCCTGCCAACAAACTTCTTTTAAAAAGGTTTTTAGTTGCCTGAAAGCTGAGGTACTGGAAATTGTTAACTGCATTTTAATGTCGGGAATTTTTCCTATCATACGCCTTCTCAATTTCTAAAAACACTGCCAACACCGTCTCCCTGCTCGCCATTGCCATCCGAACATCCAAATCTAGCAGGGCAATGACGTCCATCGAAACCCACCCCCATCGAAACCCACTCTGACTCAGGGCAAAAAAGCCTGAGTTTTCCAAAAAATACACCAACCGTGTGGAGACCATACATTCCATCATCTTACAAACCACTGAGGTCAAAGCAATAGGCCTCTAAAAATCCAGGGCTCCAGGGGCTTCCCCGGCTTAAGGAAAGGCACAATCACCGAATGTCGCCATTCTGGGGGCAACAGTCTAGACCCCCAAACTGCATTAATCAAGGATAAGACCTCTTCGAGGAAGAGATCCCCCGCATGATGGAACAGCGGATAGCCCAGACCATCCTTTCCTGGACTAGTAATGTGTCCAAAACGCGTCGCAGCCCACAGCTCATCCAATGAGAAAAAAAAGATTCAAGTCCTTCAGGCCTTCCCCATCTCCCCACAGATCACCAGCAAAACCACTCAGCAACCCTTGCTTAAAACCAAGGTCGTCATCCAAGATATTCACCGAACTGTGAACCCTCTGGAAATGTGCAACCAGCACATCAGCCTTCTCCTTATACCCCACCGCTGACCTGCCCCCCACATCAAGCACAGGAAGTCCATGCCACACCCCAGCCCCAATCATCCTACGGACCATACCCCACAATGACCGCACAGACGTACGGGGCCCCAGCCCAATACAGAAGTCCCGCCAACCAGCCCTCTTCATGCCCTTCACAACCCTTCGAGCCACCGCCCTCAACCTATTGAACTTAACAGAGCTAGGCACCACATGGTGTTTCCTAAGCAACCTGTAAGCCCTACTCCTATCCCGAATACCCAGACTACAAGCCTCTGACCACCACTGGACCATAGACTGATCAACAGGTGCTCGCTTTCTGGGAATATGGACCTCCGCCACCGACCGCACGCAAACAGAAACAGCAGTATACCAGTCGTCGATGTTGTCTCCCCCTCTCAGCCGACAGACAGCATCCTCCAAATCACGTTCATACGAGGGTCAACAGGCTTGTTTATAATTTAACCCAAGGGCCATCGAGCCATACCCCTCCACCACACCCCTACCAAAGATGCTCAGCACAGGAAAATGATCACTCCCCATAGCAAGTTGGTTTAAAACCTCCCACCCACAAGCCACTGCAGCCAAGTCTGCAAAAGCAAACGTCAAATCCAACGCTGACGAGCAGAGACCATCCCCCCTAAACCAAGTATGGCTGCCATCATTCAATACCACAGCCCGTACTCATCCAACATATCCTCAAACACCCTGCTATTCTCACCAGTACGGCAAGCCCCCACAACTCACTATGCACATTAAAGTCCCTCATCCACAAAACCGACGAAGACCCTCCGGACATCAGACACCTAAGAGCCAGGCCATCTAATGTCCCACCAGGGTTGTAAAGACTCACCACCTGCACCACCCCACGATTTCCGGCGATATTGCAGCCCTTCCCTGAGAAACGTGGTGCAACCCCCGCCTGAATGACCCATCCTATCCCACCTTTCACATACAAAACCATACAGCCTAAAATCCAAGGACGGCTTCAGCCACATCTCCTAGACAGAAATCACATCCGGTCCATTTTTTAAATCCTCCAAGGCCCTCTTAAACTCCTGCCCATTGGCTACTAGACTCCTAGCATTCCACTGCAGGATATGAAACACCGTAAAAGATTAGCCCTCCGCTCCACCCCCACCCTCAACTAGATCCTTCCCCCTATCATTTTCTACAACAAATCCATGATCCCCTCTACCCCCCGAACCCTGCGAACAGGTGGCTTCCCAAACCTCCCTGGGATTCACACCAGCAAATCCCAGCAGGAGTTCAACCTCCACTTCCAAAAACCATTTAAGCTGAAGCGCCCTATCACGCTGAGCCTCTGTGCGACAAACTACTGACAATACCCCACTCGGCAAAATGGTTGCATCCACCACATCCCCAATCCTCTCCTTCATTTCCTTAGACAACCGAAGAGGACTGGAGGAAGAAAACCCTCCCCTATCCGAAGCCCTCAAGCGAATGACCAAAATCAACACACCAACATCACCCATCCTACATAGTTTAACCGATCCATCCCCCACCACAGCATCCAGCGATGAATCCCCACGGTCTCTCTTAGCAGTTCCCCTACTCTCCACCTGCGTAGCAGCCCCTTCACCGCCACCCGACTTCCGACCCATGCCCCACGAAAAGTTTGAACAAGAGCAGAAACAGAACACCGAGGTACCGGACCTGTACAGGCCATCGGCTGACACTCCAGACACCCCTCCTGGACAAACCAAGCCACCAAACTGAGAACCAAATTGTGAGTCAAGCGTTCCTCTCCATCTCACTACCTTCCGAGACCGGGGCCCAAGTCTCGAGCAGCTGAGTCCTGCACCCCCCCCCCAATTTGCCACCTGCTCTGCTAACACTTCCTTCTACCCCCAGATCTGGAGGGTGTTAGCCTGGCAAGCCAGACTAAATAAATGTATTATTTAGTCTGGCAACGCTCCATTGGCGGCTCTCCATTGTGGGGCGGGTTCTACCGTTGTCTTTCAAATGATCTCCGCATGCTACTGGACAATGAATGTGACATACTCTTGTTTCACTCTGTTGCATCATCCCACCCACCAGGCATATAGAGTGCCCTGATTGGCCCACAAAGCGGATAAAGCTCTGTGATTTGTTCACTAAGCAGATAGAGCACTATGATTGGCCCACCATTATGGACCAATCACAGCTCTTTGTGTGTTTGAAACCCCTCTAGAGAGCTGTGATTGGCTAGCCAGAGTCCTGGTAGGAGCTGCTGAGGTTCCAATGGAGCATGCCTAGACCAAACTTTGCAAAGCAAGAATTTGGTCTAGTTCACTAGGCTAGGAGGGCGTGGCATATGGCATTGAAATGCTCTAACTGCTGGCCACTTACACATACGGTTGTTTAAATCAAAAACTTTAAGCCCTCATGTACTCATCAGCCGTTGTATGAAGTGTTTCTTATGCTGCATCATCTTCACTGTAATCTGTGATGTAATTGCTCAACCTTAATTCTGCCTTTTCCTTTTTAGCTCTAAATAATATGGACAGAATTTGTAGGTGCAGCCGTGGTGTGGGGGGTGGTTTGGTGGCAGGACAATCTCGTCTCTGCTGTTTGCGGGTGATGGTCCTCTTAGCTTCATCAAGCTCTGACCTCCAGCTCTTGCTGGGGAGCTCTGCGGCCGAGTGTGAAATGGCTGGGATGAGGATCAACACCTCCAAATCCAAGACCATGGTTTTCAACCGGAAAAGATCTACATCACAACCCTGACCTATGGTCATGAGATTTGGGTAGTGACCGTGAGAACAAGATTGCTGATATAAGCAGCCAAAATGAGTACGGGCATTTTAGAGGGACTCAGAGTAGAGCCACTGCTCCTCTGCATCAAGAGCCAGCTGAGGTGGTTCGGGTATGTTGTCAGGATGCTGCCTGGACTCCTTCCTGGTGTGATGTTTCAGGCATGTCCTGACTGCAGGAGGCCTCCGGGTCAACCCAGGACACGGTGGAGAAGGTACGTCTCCAATCTGACCCGGGAACAACTTGGGGTCCTGCCAGAGGAGCTGGTGGAGGTGGCCGGGGAGAGGGCTGTCTGGGATGTCCCACTGAAGTTGCTACTAGCCCCGTAACCTGTACAGGCGGGGGAAAGCAAACATACAACTTATTTCATTTAAAAAACTTTAAAAGCATTCTTCAGATCTTTTACTCATACATGTTTTGCCCCTATAAGACACAGAAAATGCTTTTTAAATGTATTTTAACCATTCAGAGCATTAAAAGGCTTGTTATATAATCATAATGTTAATGTAATTGAAATGATAGTATTTCACTTTTTATTCAAACATCTCCATTTTTCTTTTTTTACTGTTTAATTTCACCAGTTTCTCAGTTTAGTTCAGTTCTTCACCAAGATAAACAGGAACTTAATGGTTGATCGGAACTATTAAAAACTTTATGACTGTATTTTTGTCAGAAAAGGAAAAGAAAACATCACAAACGAGTGAATTAAACCACTGAAGCAATGAGACTGAGAAGCCTGCAGCTACATTACATATAGTAACGTGAAATATTAATCCTCACCTGGTTTGTTTGGTGTTTTCTAGCAGATAATATTTTAGTTTTTCAGATCAGAAAAAATGTTTTAATATTAAACATAGATAACCTGATTAAGAATAAAATGTAGTTTTAAAAGGATTATTTCATTTCTTAAGACAATAAACTAAACCAACTGAAAAAGTCACTTCCTTCTGGTAAAATCATGACTTTCATCGTTCATAAAGCTGAGTTCAGCTCCAGCAGACACACCCAGACCTGTAGAAGTCAAAAATCACTTCAGCAGTCAGACAACATGATGAAGAAGACCAACAGATCTCTAATGGTGCCCCGGTCTAAAAAACCCAGAATGACTGCAGGACTCACCAGGTTAAAGGTTAAGGTCAGAGGTCAACAATACAAAAGAGACTGGGTCAAATGGGCTCTAAAAGAGAAAAGCATGGTGGTGGTGGTGTGATGTTCAGGTGCTGCTCTGCTATTCAGGAGCTGGACTACCACCATTAATTCTGCTCTCAAGAATATCTGACCTTTGACCTTAAACAAGACATTGGAACGCCCAGCAATGGTCAGTTTTAGGTACTGTTTGACCATTCAACATCTGGTCAAAAAGGAGACACGAGACTGCATGTGTTCCCTTTAAATCGGCCTGCCTTCGTCCCACCAGATGGAGCTCAGAGCCTCTCTGCAGCTCTGAACACATGATAACGAATTGTCAACAATTATGCTCTCTCCCCAAGGTTCAAGCTTCCCTTGACGTCCTACAGGATTCTTCATGCCTCCAAATGAGGAACACTCACAGCCCAGATTAGTTGCTAAATCTAGGACTGATTTCCTAAATCAGATATGAACTTCTACAACTCATACACTGTAAACAACTTATAAGCCTGTACTGTGAGACCTCTTCAAATGGTCCAGAACGCAGCGGCGCGTCTGGTCTTCAATCAGCCATAAAGAGCACACGTCACCCCTCTGTTCTTTGAGCTCCACTGGCTACCACTAGCAGCACGCATCAAATTCAAATTGCTAACACTAGCATACAAAGTCCGAGATGGTACGGCTCCCATCTACCTGAATCCTCTTGCAAAGGCTTACGTCTCGGCCCGGCCGCTCCGGTCATCACAGGATCGTCGGCTAGCAGTGCCTACACCACACTCAGGACAATCCAGACTCTTCTCATGCATCGTTCCACAAATGTGGAATGACCTTCCAAGCACTACCAGAACAGGGGCTTCCTTTTCAATTTTCAAGAAACTCCTGAAGACCCTGCTCTTCAGAGAGCATCTTCTTAACTAGCACCCTCCCTGCACCCGTCCTCCCTCTCTACTGTCCACTCCTTGTTCCCTCCTCTCCATGACTGATGTCAAGTTGTTGTTGTTGTTACTGTTGTTGTTAGCCTCAAGGGCAACGTGCCGATTATCACTTGTGAGACGCTTTGGACAAAAGCGTCTGCTAAATACATAAACATAAACATAAACATACGCTAGATAATCAGTAATTAAACGTTTGTTTATTGCTACTTATAATAATTATAATATAAAGAAATGTTTCATTAATCTGTACTCAATGATTGAAGGTTGAAATGAATGTTATGTTATGATTACAGTGATTGATATATGTTTCAGCATGTTTATATGACAAGGTCATCACCATTTGCACTCACACAAGGACGAAGTAAAGTTAAACGTGTGACACATAGATAGCCTTTACCCCAGATCAGAGCCTCCGGATCAAAGAAGGCATGTTTCTGAGATTCTTGTTAACATTCCTCAAACGTGTCAACCTCTGGTTGGCTACACAAATCATAACATGAGAACATTAAAACCAGATCACTCTGGTGATTCATCAGTTCTAGAGAAAACTTCAGACCGGCCATCTGAAGCAAAACCCTCTTTGACCCATCAAAGCTTTTGACATGTCGTCAAAATCTTTTTGCACGTGCGAAGCTGATATAGCGAACAGTTCCTGCAGAACAAGCTGATTTTGTTCCGACTCTTTAAGAGTCCCAGACGCGCGGTTCCATCCATCTGTCATGACCCGAGACATCTCTGGACGGGAGAAGTCGGTGCTGTGGTCAATCTACTGGACCTTCGGTGCCAGAGGCCATCCGACCTCTCTGACCTTCGGATCCACGAAGAGAGTCTCTGAAAACGGGTGAAGTAGACACACAGATAGCGCCTGATGTGTTTTTGATAATAATCAGCTTCATAGCTTCATGCAAACGAAATTCTTTTAAATCCAGAACTCAGCTCTCCTAGATACGGAAGTTCTGATATTCACACAGAGGTTTCATACATCGCATCTAGCTCCATCCACTCACAGTAAATGTTAGTTAACCTGTTATGTTTTAATTGTTTGTAAAATAAATTCTTACTTTTATAAACCTGACTGTTTTCTGAATCAAAACAAAGTGTGTACAATCCCCTGATAAATAAAGAATCCTAGAATCTTCTGATTAAAACACAATAAAGACCATGCAGGGTTGATATTCTATATTTAGATAGAGTATCACAGATTGTTGGTCATAAGAAGAGGTAATATACATATTGAGCTCTTAAAGCACTCAGTTTCCTAAACCCTGCAACGTTCATGCTGGTAACCCTCCACTGTGGCTGACCCTGACTTTGATCCTAACCTAAGCTTAGAGTTAACTTTCCCACTCCTTCCCATCTGAAACCACCATGTGTGTTCACTCCAACACAGACGTTTGAGAAATGAAAAGCAAAAGCAGAAGCTATTTGTAAAAGTACTTTTTCACAGCTGGGTTTCCTGCTTCAACACCTCTTCAGTGGCAGGATTCCTCCTCTTTGTCCTCAGGGTCTGCACGAGCATCTCATTTCACCCTGATGGGTTCAGACAGAAGTAAAAGCAGCTCGTGGTTTTCCACCGCCCGTTCCTCGGCTCTGAGGCCGGAGCTTCGTGTTTTATTTCGGTCCTTTTCATCTCCTGTGGTTTGGTACATTAAAGGGTTCTCCACGCCTGAAGATAACACAATAGAAATGTAAAAGATCATTGTCCCTGAGGCACACACACACACACACACACACACAAGATAAACAAGTCCAAGCCTGTTCTTTGTGATGCACCTGGACTGACTTATTGGATAATGGAGTTAAGCTCCATAAAAGACCTGCTGTGGGAATGATAATGGATCTGCAGCTGGATGGACATGATGTCTGATCTTCACCAGCATCAAAGTAAACACCCACCCACATGTGTCACCTTGATCTCAGGTCTCTTCTCTGAGCCATCAGCGTCATCTGATGCGCACCTTCTAAAAAATCTGCTGGAATTTTCCAAAAACTGCTTTTTCAAGGTCAGCATCCAGAACATACTTCACATTCAGATCTCCACCCACCCTCTTGCAACACCGCCCACACCTGAAGACACACCACCAGGCGTCTACGGCCACGGGTGGGTGAGGGGAAACGTCACTGTTGCTTTTCTTTTCCTTTTTTCTCAAAGTGGAGAGCTGTGCTGTCAGTGGATTTGTGGATTTCAGGCGGGCTTCATCAGGCGTCAGAGGCAGGCAGCGCCGTGACTCGTGTCTGCGTGGAGTGACCAATGAGCAGCCGGAGCTGGAGATATAAATAACGAATATAAATAATCCTGGGGAGGAAAAAAGGAAAAGAAACGGGCCACTTCGGCACCAGTGGAACGGATCTGATGTTTTAGTGCGCTCGCTGCTAATCCCGACATTTCCGCCTCTGGATGGTTTTTTGGGAGCTAATTAGAATAAAATTGAGTTCTGGACAACCTGCGCGCCTCTGAGCCGGTAAGACGCTCCATTCCAGCCGCGCATCTTCAACGATGCGCGTCACAGACCTGTACAGGCAGACAGCTGATTATAACAACGAGCCAGGGTCTATAGAAAAATAAACAAAAGAACTATTCGTTGTAAAGAAATAAAAGAAATATGCGTTTGGAGTATCTTAATGAAAATACACTCATTGCGTTATTTATTTGTATTTTTTGCAGCAGATGGTTTTATCAGCAGCTTGTTGTCTTGGTTTCTGTTTTTGTTCCTCTGAATTATCAGCTGTTCCGGGTGTTAAACAGATTGCCACATAAAAAAAAACTAAAAAAAAAAAAAGAATCGCTCTGATTCTCTTGAAAATGACATCAAAAATAAATTTGAGGAAGAACCAACCCATGCTTCATTATCTGAGTGTATATTAATGTGGGGAAATATATATTTAAAATAGTCAAATATGTGCGTTTTGGTTTTGCGCTTGCTGTGCGGCATGCGCAATTTGGTGCTGGCAGCGCGTCTGGTCAGACGGCCTTGGATGGATCCGTCAGTGGTTTTATTCTGGGTGTCTCTAGTGCAGACTAATCTTTCAGCCCTGCTCTCCTGGACCGGTGTGTTTACAGTTCCCAGCTGGAGACCACATTACGGAGGAGTGATGGCCACGTCCGAACCGAGAGCCACCGGCGGGGACCAGGACCCCAACTCTGCTAATTTAAGACCCCAGTCTGGAAGTAGGTCTGCACACTCACCCCCACTCCACCCACCCCCATTCCTGAGGGGAGAGGCTTCCCGGGAGCGCGCAGGTTGTGCTTAAAGAACTGTTGATGCCTTGCTGAAAGACACTTCTGCAGAGTAATCTATTCTACACAGCCCCCCCCCTCTCTCTCTCCCTCCCTCCCATTATAGCAGTCTGGCCTGGGCCATTTGCTGCGTGGGCTCCGTCGTTAATCATTCTGGTTTAAAACAGAGCCATCACAGCTGCCTGTCGCTGTCGCTGTCGCTGTCTCGGCGCGCGCGGTCAGCGGAACTGGCTGGAGAAACGTGACATCCACAATGACCCATCAGCATGTTGCTCTAATATATTTAGCCTTTAAACAATATTCTCTCTGCTTCTAAGGCTTCCTTCTCCTCACACTCCTAAATCATTTTTGTTCACCTAAAGCGATTTGTGTCATTTTCCAGAAGTCATTATTCCTCCACGATCCCATTTTTGAGTCTATACATTAACCTCCGGGTTAATTAATCTTTTTCAGCTTTTGCCGCAGAATTGGCTCCGTTAGAGCGCACTTGAGCAGCCATCTGCACAACTGCAGCAACGCAGGAAATAAGAGCAGGGTGTTGTCCTCATCAGGAGATGGCTGCTTTTATTTAGCAGATACGTCAGGATACAATTTTTGGGTTTTCTTTTTTTTCTTTTTTATAAAAATCTTCTCTACTCTTTAATGGCATCAGTGTGTTCAGCGGTTGCATCAAGTAAAGGATGAAACACGCCTGCTCTGTTTCACCGCGCTGCTGGATGTGGCCATTATCCCCCTACACGCTCCATCTCACGCCTGGCGGCTTGTTGTGTCTGCAAGTGTGTGTGTGTGTGTGTGTGTGTGTGTGTGTGTGTGTGTGTGTGTGTGTGTGTGTGTGTGTGTGTGTGTGTGTGTGTGTGTCGCTCTTGGTTTAAATGATTTTGAATTTAATGTTTTGATGTGAAACTTTTCCATCAGGCGTGTTTGGGACACCGATGACGCCATGTAATTAAAATATTAACAACACATGTTTTTGATAAACCGAGCTGGTTCAGTCAAACATAAAACCAATTGTAGGGTAAACGAATAATTAGCTGCAAAATATCTACTTCACATTTAAGTATCAGAATCTAAAAACAAACGTGGTTTAAAGTGAATATTTCACTAACACGCGAGCTCAAACTGTAGTAAAATGAAATGAGTCATATGATCATTTATCAGTGTTGTTTTTCAGTAATTAAATAAATAGACTCACACAGATGTTACATCAGTGATCACCCTGTTTTAATTTTAATAATACATTTAGAATTAAAATTTTTGGTGTGTTTTTATTTTATGTTAAATATTCAGATTTAATTATATATTTAGATTTGACTCTGAATATTTAGGTTTCACTTATATGGCTACGTTAAACATTTTTACATGATTCCAAGAACGAGACAACTTTGAGTATTAATTTTAAATGTTTAGATTTTACTCTCTGGAGCGATGTGTAACCTTATATATGTAGACTTGACTCTAAATATTTAGATATATCTTCATACATTTTGGGCATTTATTCTAAATTTTCTGAATTTGACGTTATTTTTAAGCAGAAAGTCGTTGAATGCAGATGTTTGTTGTGTTGTATTGGTGGCCCGCAGGTCTGCTTGTTCGCGTCAGGCTTCTGCTCCATCCTGTCCAGCTTGTGTCTTTTGTGCAAATTGTGTGTGTGCGCGCGCTTGTGAGGTGGATGAAAATAAGGTTCAGCTTCCGGCTTCCCTCAGAGCATGTCCAGCTCGTTCCAGTCACACGGGCCTCCGCGCTGCACTCAATTAATTCCTGTCCCCCTCCGTGAGCTCATTTCACGGGTGTTAATTCCAGTCCGCCCCTCGGCCGGGCGCGTGAGCGGGCCACAATTGACTGAACCCAAACCGGAAGCGTTAGGCGGACTCAACTCTGCAAACAGAAAGGGGACTAATTATCCAACAAACCAGTTTTTAAATGAGTCTGGAATAAGATGAAAGCCCGCACGCACGCGCGCGCTCCCTCTGCCTCTGTGTGCTCCATCATCCGCGGCCTGCTACACACAGATAAACTCCACCCGTTCATTCTGTTCTAGCCTACGAGTATGCGTGGATGCACGGCTGCACGCGGAAGCTCGGGATGAAGATCTGCGGTGAGTTTTGCTTTTAGGAGCAGTCATCATTCCATGTCACGATTTTACCACCTTTCAACTACATCCGTGGAGAGGAGTCTTACTTTGAAGTCATGTCATTGTTACCATCTTGGCCACAGAGCCTTGCAGCCTTCTAAACAGGTCACGTGACTGTGTGTGCAGTCTGGAGAGCGCAGGCCCATCCTCCGCCGTCACTTCATGTTTTCATCTCCAGAAGGTCAGTGCGCTTTAGCCCGCAGGTGTGGGGATAAAGACCCGGACCAGGAGCCCTCTGACTCCCACACGTCATCTCCATCTCTGCTAAAATAAAGCAAAAGGATGTTTCATTTCAGGCGTTTGGTGCCCTCTTTTTTGTTTCGTCTTATTTTCAAGAGTTAATCTATTTGGTAACCCACAGGCGCGTCACAGCGGAGTGTCTGCTTCTCAGCGGCCCAGACAATAAAACCCAGGCTGAATGGATTTCCTGGAAGGATGCTGGATCTAACGGAATGTTACTGACCTGCTTGTCTCGCCTCGGATCAACTAAAACCCGCGAAGTCTCGAACCTATCAAACTGATTTATTATTTAATTCATAAATTAGTCGTTTGATTTATCGCTTGATGCCGTTTTAAAGGTGATGGTTTAGGGACTGACCAAACCTCTGATATATGTTAGGAGCTGTGTGAAATATGAGGCGTGATTAGAGAGAAGTGCGTGTTTTTACGCGTGATTAGGCCTCGGTTCGCAGATAGCTGCCGAAGGCCGCGAGACAAAATCCGGAGACGTCCATCCAGCCGAGACAAAATCTCCTTCAGGGCGCGCGCGCGCGCGCGTGTCTGTGTGTGTGTGTGTGTGTGTGTGTGTGTGTGGACCTAAGGGAACCAGTCGGGTTTGGCTGTTGATTTTCACAGGAGGCTGGGTGTACTCTGACAGGATCGTGCCTGTGATGTCACGGGTTGAGGAGCGCGAGCACCCGTGACGGAGCGTGCGCTGGCGCGCCATTGACCTGTTTAAATTCGACACCCACATCAGATTCATTTTAGATTATTCAACAGCAGATCCTTGACATCACAGCTTTAGTTCAGTTTACCGGGAAACGGTCTAAATATTCGAACATCCATCACCTTTTATTTATTTATTTGTTTGTTTTATTTCGCATAGTTGATTTCATCCTTTTTGTTTTTTGTCAGCCTGATGGAGGTTTTGGGGGACAACTCATTCTCTCTGCCCTGTAACTCTCTAGGCTTCCTGCAGAAGAACAACAGTCTGGACGAGAGAGGGAGACTCTCGGGCCAGAAGAACCTGCTCTCGTGCGACAACAGCGACCGGGACGCGCGCTTCCGGCGCACAGAGACGGACTTCTCCAACCTGTTCGCCAGAGGTGAGAGCTTTGACAGCTTGACGCGTTCATCCGCTGCTTTTATCCGTGGTTTCTCTTATTATTCCTCACATTATCACAGCATTTATGGTTTTAATCTCAATGCATCATTGCTTTTGTTTCATCAACACTCAGCAAATGTCTGACTGTTTATTTTTGTTCTCAAAACGTTCCACACGTGAATAGATTAATGATAACGCTGTAAGATCATTCAGCTTTAGCTTATTTCATCAAACTAATAAATTATAAAGCCTGAAAATCTGGATAATAACAAAAACTCTCTAATTATAAACCAGCTATTAAATGGTGCCCATGGGTTGACCTTCATATTGGTACTGAAACATATGTTAAACTAAAGTTAACCCCATTGTGAAACAATTAAATGCATCATTATCATTTCTATCACACAGTTTATTTCTAGAAACTTGTTTTATCTAACAACAGAAAACAGAAGCTTAAGTTTAGCAATAAACAAAAATCTGTTTTTAAAACTACAGGAAATGTTGTTATTGTACAATATTTCTAATTTCCTGTATTTGAATCCCCCAAGGTGCCTTACAACACACATTTGCACACTGGTGGTGATGAGCCACGTCGTAGCCGCAGCAGCTCTGCTACATGCATTTTAGACAAATGTAACGGAGTGAAAAATGATTAGAAATGAACCTGGGTCTGATTTACTGTTAAATCCTGTTGTTTCTCATTGACGAGCTGAGAAGTTGAACCTAAGATTTGTTTCTGCTGCTTCACCCTCTCACCTTCCAGACCTTCTGCCAGCTAAAAATGGGGAGGAGCCCACCTTGCAGTTCCTGCTGGAGGTGGTGGACATCCTTACAAACTACATCAAGAAAACGTTTGATCGCTCCACCAAGGTTCTGGACTTCCACCACCCTCACCAGCTGCTGGAGGGAATGGAGGGCTTTAACCTGGAGCTGTCGGACCAGCCAGAGTCCCTGGAGCAGATCCTGGTGGACTGCAGGGACACACTCAAATATGGAGTCCGGACAGGTGAGCTGCAAGGACACTGAGCTGCAGCTTAAGCTTCATCTATATGATTTAAAATAACCTCCTATTTGTCTGATTAGATTAGCATTTAGTCAGAATTTATAGATGGGATTTTATAAATAATCTGTAAACGTTTGGGTCTTTGAGGGCTTTTAAAGATTTATAAGCCTTTTATCATCAGAAACTCATGTTGTCTTGACAGCATACAGCCCATTAGGGTGAGAGCTTGATTCATTCCCCCTCTGGTAAATCATCTGACCTCCCCCTCTCTCCCCATCTGACTTATTAAACCAAGTGTAGCCTGAGGGGATCTTAACGGGCTGTTCCAGGCTGTTAGAACAACAAAGCTCAAACTGTCCCCTGGGTTTTACGGCTCACACGGTCTTCAGGTCCAAACCTTTCAGAGGAGGTGTGGAGCTGTCCGTGGTGCTGAAACAAACAGACAAATGCTCCTCCTTCTTTCAGATCTTACCATTTGTGTTGTATATTTTTAAAAGCATCTTTTATTACAGAAGATGTAATCCAGCATTTGTTTCTGGGACTGGCTCCAGGCTCTCGGACCGGTGACTGTGTGCAGGCAGCTTGGAGTCTAAACGGCTGCCACATAGCTGCCACCAAACCTGCTCTGTCAGATCTCTTATGGCTGAACAGGGAAAAATAGAATCAAATCTGAATCAATAAATGTTTCTTATGGGTCCTTTAGAGTAATCACAACAAAAATATCACATGTTGTTCTACGGAAAAAGTATTCTTTAAAGGGACCAGATCATGCTGTGTTAAACCTTTGAGAGCAAAGGAAGGCAAAATATTTGATTAAATACTTCTACTGGCACTATTGAGATGGCATTCATCTTAAATACAAGTTACTTTTGTCAGCCTGAATTTATACCCAGAACTGAAACAGTTAGTTTTAGCTAAGCTCCGCCCACAACATAAATGCACCAGTGTCTTAGGCAAGGCTGGTCTTGGTGGTCCAGTGGTTTAAGTGCCTGCCTTTTGTCTTGTTTTGCCACCTGCTGATGTCATGGTCTGTGTCTGTGTCTTCCCTCGTGTGTCTCCTCATGTTCTCCATCCCTCTCCAGTTTCCCATTTTGTGTCTCATAAGCGCCCTCATGTGTCTTTTGTCCGCGTCTCATTTATGTGTCTTCTGTTGTAGCTCCAGCCCTTTTGTCCCCAGCTCCCTCCTGGTTCTCTTCACGTCTCTTAGTCTCCCCATCTCAGTTCATTTAGGTCTTTTATTTCAGTGTGTGTGTGTGTGTGTGTGTGTGTGTGTGTGTGTGTGTGTGTGTGTGTGTGTGTGAGTCCTTCCCTCAGTCTTTCGGTTTAGTTTTGTTTTATAGTTTTAGGTTTTTCTGTCCTCCTCTGGTTCTGTTCCCCATTCAGATATTATATTCACCTGCTTTCCCTCCAGCCCTCACTCCACACACCTGCTGCTTGTTTCCCTAATTGCTCCTCCCAGTCTATATAAGCCCTGTCTTGTCTCTGTATTGTGTCGGTCCATTGTTGTTTGTTAGTGTTGTTTTGGTGCTCTGTGTGAGCTTTGCGTCTCGTTCTCCAGGTCTTTGTGCTCTGAGTGAGCTTTTGTTCTCCTGTTTTTTTTTTTATTTTTGGCTCGCTGCCTTTTGGATTTATTTTTGTTCATCCTGCAATAAAAGGATTTTTACTTTATACCAACTCCTGCCTCTTGTCGTCTGGGTAATCTGCATTTTGGGTCCTAACCATCTCCTCAACGTGACAGCTGACACGGGTTTGACTCCCGGAGTTGGCAATAAATTATTTAGCCAGCTGAAGCAGATTATATTTATTTATATTTTAGTTGTATCAACATTTTTCTGCAAAACATTTAGTGTCTCCAAGGATCTTTGAATTTGGTCATTCCCAAGCAGCATTTTAGTTGATTTATTCTGCTCACCTCACATGAACTCACACTGCTAAAAAAACAAAATAAACAGATTAGTCCTTGTATTTTGAGCAGTTTACCAATGAAGGATTAAAAACATAATACTGGCAAGTGCAGCAACAAAATCATTTTAAAAGTTGCTGCCGTGACTGGGAGGCGAATCTGCACAAAACTGCATGCCAGTGTGGCACTCTTAACTACTGGACTACCAAGTCTGTTATAAGTCAAGTAGCCTCACACACGTACCCTGGGCTGGCCATTACGTGCATCTTTGTAGGCAGGGCACATGTTTTTTTACGGCGGTGTGTAGTCCCCAATGCAGAAGTAAACTGTCATAAATCCGCAAAATATCCAGGTTTCAGAACCAAGCTTCAGGGGGAGGAGAAATGCCCGACGCAAGTGGGCTACTTTCTTTTGTTTGCAGAAAAAAACCCTTACATCAACCAAATTTGCAGTTGAGACAGGAAAATGCACGAATTCAGCCAAGAACAGGTTTGGGGGTATTTCTCATGAGGAAATAACTCCTTAACTTGGTAAAAAGCTCCAAAAAGTGGATTTTTCACGACATGGAACCTTTAAATAATGTCAGAACGGGTGTTTAGCTTTCATTTGTGCACCAGATTAATTAGTTTATGTTTTTATTTAGGTCACCCCCGCTTCTTCAACCAGTTATCTTCCGGTTTGGACATCATTGGTCTGGCAGGAGAGTGGCTGACGTCTACAGCAAACACCAACATGTGAGTCCAACAGAAAGCATGTCTTATTATTTGTGTTTTAGCTAAACGTGGTCGTCTGCAGATATGCCATGAAGGAACAGCCTGTCTGAAGGGAATCTCCTCTGGTTGCCATCGTAGGGGAAGTGTTTCTGTTGTTCTCTAGTGTGACAGCAGCTGGTTATATAAAGAGCTGTGTTTGTCCAGCACAGACCGTGCATCGACAGGCGGGAGGCTGACACCGGGCTGTGTCGGGCCCCAGGGATGGTGAGATTACATATTGATCCTAGGTCAAACTTACATGGTGGCCGAGTCTGATAGAGCATGTGAACCACATTTGCTTCACACACTTTTAATGTGTGTAGTCCCAAACTCACGGCAACAAAACCAGTCCCATCAGGAAAGAACACTCTCCAAGGAATAAAGATACAAAGATTTTTTTTTTTACTGGGAATTAATTAATTATAAGTGCCATGATGCCATGGTTCTGGTCAGAGAAGAGTGGAGTGCCTACTCCAGGTCGGGGCAGAGGTCCTCAAGTCAGGGAGTTGAAGTATGTTGGGAGGAAGGGAAGGAGGGAGCAGGAGATGGGCAGGCGGAACCGGATTGATGTGGTGAAGAGGAGCTAAGCCAGAAAGAAAAGCATTCATGTTACTGGGCGTTCTTCATCCCAATCCTCAATGATGGTCATGAGTTGAGGCGAATGACCAAGAACAAGCGGCCAAAATGAGTTTCCTCTGTCAGGTGGCCGGGCTCAGGCTTGGATATCCCAGAGAGACTGGGGGGGGGGGGGCTGCTGCTCCTCCAGGAGGAGAGGATCCAGCTGAGATGCCTCCTGGAGCCTCCCAGGGGAAGTGTTACAAGCACGTCCTGCTAACAGGAGACCCTTGTGTCCACCCAAGTTGGAGCAATTTTCTTTATCATTTTTGTGCTGTAATGTTATAACAATAAGAAAAATGTGAAAAGATGATGTTTAGCGTTTCTTTCAAACATTCGTAGATTTTTTACAACATTAGGTTTTTCTCAGATAAGTTTTGGGCCGTCTTCAGTAGTAGCTAATGTGCTTTAGTGATACAGCAAGCTGTGTTAAAACTAACGTGGTGAGTTCATAAGTGTGTTACATTTTGTGACAAATAGAAAACCTCACTGAAAGAAGCTCAAGAAAACAACAAACTGTGAGATTAAAAAAAAGGGAAAATGAATCAGAAAGTTTCTCCGTACATTTTGGCTCAGGACGCTGACCCATTTAGATAACATCCCCATCCCATCTCCTGGTTGGAAGAATGCCCCAAGAGACAGGACCATTGACTTCCCACACTCCAACACACTTCCATAATGACACACACACCAGGGCTGGCTGTCCCAGATTCACCAGAGAGGGTTTCCAGTCCATTGACTGGAGGCTCATTGTGAGCTGGTCCTAGCAGATAGGCCAGCTGGGCCCCACACTGACACGCAAACGTGTCCTCCGGCTGCAGCAGGAACCTCGTTCCACCGCGGGAACCCGCTGCTGCAGCTCCCTGCAGAGGGATCGTTCTGGATCTATTGTCCCGGTGGAAACAGACGGACTAACCGGGCTGCTTTGACGAGCTGAAAGCAGAGTGTGGTTTAGGGTCAGGGGGTTAGTCACACACACACACACACACACACACACACACACACACACACACACACACACACACACACACACACACACACACACACACACAATGAATGCCCTTGATGATGATAATAAGGGCATTTTGGGGCTGTCTCTGGGGACGGGCAGGTGAGTGAGGGGTAATTTTCGCTCTGAAAAGACCAATGATTGGCTCTGATTGTGATAATGATCACCATTATTGTCATTACAGCGTGAAATGACTCCGAGAGAAGGACAATTTAAAAAGCTCTTCTGGTTTTGTCCTTTTCTGCTCTAAAGGAAAAGATGCTGATAAATAAACATGTTTGCCTTTGGTGAACATGATTTATCACAGAGGATTTATGTTAATGACATCAACCCAGAAAGTGAAATGTAGTGTTTTTAATAGTTTAGTACCATGTGGTCCCTCTGCTTTTATTCCACTATTGTGTTATTTCTGCTCCTCTTGCTGCCTATCAGTATCTTTTTATTCCTGCTTTCAACCGTTTCCTCAGAAACCTTATCATCCCACGCTGTCGTTTCCTTCTGCTCATGGTTTCTCCTCCCCAGAGCGTCTATCTGTCCTCCTCTCTACCCACACTACAAAATGTCGGAGTTGTTGTTTAGATGTTTATTTGGTAAAAGAACAGGGACAGAAACCCAGAGCATCCTTTTGTTGGTGCCGGAAGAAGAGAGATGTTGTGTAACTGGCCTCATTAGAGGGCAGGGTACAGGGATCCATCCTAAGGGTGTGTGTGTGTGTGTGTGTGTGTGTGTGTGTGTGTGTGTGTGTGTGTGTGTGTGTGTGTGTGTGTGTGTGTGTAAGAGAGACACATTTACCCTACTTTATCCTCTCGGAGTTTTGTCTCATTTCTGCTGTGCTCGTTCTATATTTTATAAACACACACAGAGAGCAGATACTTATCAATAAAACCTCATAAATAATTAAAACGGACAATTCTTCTGTTTGAATTCTCTTTTCTCCATTATTTTAATAATCTAATTAAACTCCTTGACTCTGGTTTCTGTATGTTGGGGCCAGCTGACGCTGTTATCTCTCCTAAACATCCCCTTTTCCTTTTTCATTCACACATTCGCACTCACTCGTCCACATTCAGGCCCTCTCAGCCGACACGTGGGCCCCATCCGGAGCCTCGGCTGAGACTGGCAGGGCTGACAGATAGCCATCAGGGCTTTGTGTGCTCTAATGAAACCACTCGGTGATGTCAGAAGGCATTTTAATATGAATGTGTGCTGGCTGGCTCCTATCTGAAACTTTTTAATTAGCCCGGCGCAGATCCACTTTGCACTCAGTGCATAGAATTATAACGGCTACCCGAAACAATGAGCACAGTTGAGTGTGGGGGTGTTCCGGTTATTTCCTCTGCAAGTGCTACATTTCTGAATGTGACTGTGGTTAAAAAAATAAAAATAAAAATAAAAAGCAAGCCTAACGCCGATACAATCGGCAGGTTCACCTATGAGATCGCTCCGGTGTTCGTGCTGATGGAGCAGCTGACTCTGAAGAAGATGAGAGAGATGATTGGCTGGCCAGGTGGAGAAGGAGACGGCCTCTTCTCTCCAGGTCAGTTAAAGTATTTGACCCCCGACGCATGTCCTCTTCTGTATTTTTGTTTAGTTAATATCACCTAAATGGTTCTTTTGGCCAGCACAGCTGATGTCAGCTTTCCCGTTATTGTAATAAATCACAGAAGGGGGCTATTACCTTTTCACACAGGACCAGGTGTGTTTGGTTACTAAATAAAATCTTATTTTTATCATTATCTTTGTCTGATTTATTAAAATAATTTAAATGTGGCAAAAAAGAAAAACAGAAATTGTTTTCTCTTTTTGCTGATAATGATGGTGTGTGTGTGTGTGTGTGTGTGTGTGTGTGTGTGTGTGTGTGTGTGTGTGTGTGTGTGTGTGTGTGTGTGTGTGTGTGTGTGTGTGTGTGTGTGTTGGGGGATTTCCTGTGTTTATGGTCAACAGGGGGCGCCATCTCCAACATGTACAGCGTGATGATCGCTCGCTACAAGTATTTCCCTGAAGTAAAGACCAAGGGCATGGCTGTTGCGCCGCGCCTTGTTCTCTTCACATCTGAACATGTATGTGACTCCCTCCAATTAGCATGCATCTGCTTTTTATCTCGCTGCTGTTGCACAAACACAAAGTCCGTCACACCACCGGTTAGCTCATGATTTGCTCACCTACTCGGAGTGCAGCTGCTTCATCTCAGATTAAACATGAATTTATTGGCCGTCCCTGCAGAGCCACTACTCCATAAAGAAGGCTGGGGCGGCTCTTGGCTTCGGTACTGATAACGTTGTCCTGCTGAGCACAGATGAAAGGTTGGTAGGGGTTTAGGTGTATGTAAATACTGGGTTTGTAAAATTAAAAGTGTGATGATTCATTGAACTTTTCCTGGTTTCAGAGGGAGAGTCATACCTGCAGATCTGGAAGCTAAAGTCATTGATGTTAAACAGAAGGTGGGTGTGTTTCTGTTATTCTCAGCTGGGGCCATGGACGTAATTTTCACTTTAGAAGTGGGGGGGACACGGGGGGGGGGGGGGGGGGGGGTGTATCTTTACAGTATGCTCTAATGGGAAACAGGCTTCAACACAAACGGTTGTTTTCCGCTTGGTCCTAGAGCTCAACCAGTGTCAGTTTAATATGGTGTAATATTGTTTTTGGATGGTAAAAAGTGCAGGGGTCAAACCCCCCCCCCCCCCCCCCCCCCCCCCAAATTACGTCCATGGCTGAGGCGATTGGTGATTTTTATTTATTTCATTTTATTGTGGGCTGCATTTACGCCGTCTGTTTTACTAACCACATACTACAGGGTGAGATATGGGAGGTGTGGCGTGACAGCGAGTAGGGAGGGTCAAAAGTGTGTGTCTCACGCTCAGTGTGTGAGTTGGCAGCCCTAATAATCCGGTTCATGTAATCCAATGTCCCAACGTCACACTGAGCTGATTCCCGACTGTCTTGGGCTTTTTTTTACCTGCTTTTTACGTCTACGACACCACATTCCATCATTTTCTGGTTCTTCATAATGAGAAAAACTCCACGAGGTTTACACAGCTGCTCTAAAACAAAGAAAGAACGGGGAATTGTGGAGAGCTTCCGGTTCTGGGTGAACAACCTGATCTGAGCTGAGACTCCACCCGGTGTTCTTTGTACTGGAGGGAGATACAGCACGCATGCACCAGTTATAGCGTGGGCAGGGGGGCTGCCAGAGATTTTGGGCCCCATGAAAAAATATCAAGTTGGGCCCCCTGGGGGCTCGTCCATAGCTGGAGCTGGGGTTCCACCCTCCTAGATTCGAAGGGAGACAAAATATATAATGTGTATACTTTATATTAGTGTTTCAGTTTTGCTTAATTATGTAGGTCTACATGCATTCTTGCTTATTTACAAATCATTTTCACCAGCTGTCTCTCATTAAACAGTGAATTTCCTTCAACAGAATTAGCAATATCACTGCTGGAAAAAGCAGGAAATACACATGCTGAAAGGTGTTAATCTCCTTTTCCCTATTACTCCCTTAAAATCTGTTTATTTATTCTAAAATTTTATTTGATGATAAAATTCAAATTTGGATATCTAATTAAATTTCCATGTTGTGTCAAAGCTTTACATAACTACATTTTCAGCTGTCTTTCCTCTTGAAATCAAGTATTTCTGTATGAATGACAAAAATTAAGGATTCACTGCTCACAAGGTGACTTCTTTATTAAGTCTCCAAGGCTTCATCATAGACACAAAATGAATAAGCACACAGTTCAAACCGGAGTCAGTTAGGGTTACATAAAATTTTAAAGTTGGACAACTTTGAATGAATATGTATAAAAGTCTGTAGAAACCCATTTTTCTCAACAACAAAAAACAGCTATAAATATATTCAGCCTTGTACACAGCAAGATTTATTATTTACAGTGATATAATCAATAATGCTCAATAACGATCAATACTAGATTTCATATTTTATTGTGTACAAAGTTATATTAAGTTTATTTATTACAATTATTAATAGCTTTTGTTTCAGTTTTGCTCTCTGATGAATTATTTGGAAATTACTGATTTTTGGTTTGTGTTCTAAAAGCTACATAAACAAATTACATCTTGTAAAACCTCCCATAATTCAGTCAGATTCAAAACATTTCATTTAAAGGTGTTTAGTAGATGAAGGTTTTTTTCTTGTATGATGCCTTCAAAAAGGTGCTTCACAGTAAAAATCTCACAGTAATTTTATCACGATGAGAGGATGGTTTGGACCCAAAACGCAGATACCCAGGATGACACGAGGCAGGAGTTGATATAAAGAAAATCCTTTTATTTTAGGATGAGTCCAAAAATAAAATAAAAATCCAAAAAGGCAGGGAGCCAAAAAACAAAGATCCAGGAACAGGAGAAAAAGCTCACTCAGAGCACAGACTGGGAACGAGACCGGAAACTTACACAGACCACCAAAACACCGCTGACAAACAACAATGGACCGACAAGACACTGAGACAAGACAGGGCTTAAATAAACTGGGGCATGATGGGAGGCAGATGAGCTGCAGGTGTGTGGGGAGAGGACCAGGTGAAAGCAATACTTAATCAGGGAGGGAACTCACATGACCTAAGAAAAAACCTAAAAACAAGAAAAGCAACCACATAACTAATATAAAGGGATGGAGAACTACAAAGACTGGTGGGACAAAACATATAAAAGAGACTAATAAAATGAAAAGCTGAAACTATAAACACTGCAGAGGGATGACTGGGGAAGACTAAAGGAACACAGGACCTGAGAGATATATTTGGAAGGCTGAAGACCAGGGGACAAATGAGGAACACAAAGAGACACATAAATGAGACGCAGACAAAGGACACATGAGGGCGCTATGAAACACAAAAGGAGAACCTGGAGTGGGAACTGGGGGGGCTGGGGAACAAAGGGACACAGAACATGACAAATTTATGTTACATTAACAGACTAAGGCCTAGTCCACACGTAGCCGGGTTTTTAAAAAAACGAATATCTGCCCCTCCAAAAACTTGCATCCACACCACCTCGTTTAAAAAAAAAAAAAAAACTCTGTCCACACGTACCCGGATAAATACGTTGTTAAGGACATGCCAGACCTGTAGGCGGCAGTACTTCCCCCGTTCTAAACCTCGTCCTTCGTCTGTGGTCTTCCTCTAGGAGCAGTAATTCCACTTGCAGAAAAAAACCAAGCAAAAAGCGCTTGGACAATTGATAAAGCGAGCGCAGCTCTGAGGGCATCCATGCTGTCGGCTAGTGTAAACACAGATCGCACACGTGATGTCAGCATTTTTTTGTCGCGGAAAGTGACGTTGCGGACCTTAAAACTCCGGTTTTGTCTGTCCACACGCAGACACCCAAAACGGAGAAAACGCAGATCTTCACTTTGGCCGGAGTTTTTAAAAAGATCCGTTTTCGTGTGAAAAAACTCCGTTTTTGTGTGGATGACAGGCCAAAACGTAGAAAAATATCTACGTTTTGGCAGATCCCCGACGTGTGGACAGGGCCTAAATAACAATGCTTCAAGCATACAAAACAATCTATACATTTTTACTGACTGATATATATATTTATCATTATGTGGAAAAACAATGTTTATCGCCAGAAATAGCCTTTTTATATTCCTTTGTAATAGTTAGGGTTAGGGTTAGTGAAGAGAGCCTTAAGTGATTCCCACAGACCTCCTTAAATGAGGCTGCTAGCTAACATGCTACATTGCTCACCTTCTTGAGGTTCATTGGGTTGTGAGGGGACACCTGCTGACATATCATCAGCTGCTGATTCTGGTAGGGACAAGGACAACAACCCATTTACCAAAATTAGATGAAACATAGTTCCTCTCACTGTGGATATCAGAGCTAGCAAACAGGTTGAATTTAACCGCTCACTAACTAAACCCACCTTTCTTTGAGAAAAACTGTGTAACATACTGACGCCCTCTCTTCTGCCTATCCTTTCTCCTTTATTTCTTTTCTTTTCTGTGACCCAGACTTAGTTTTTGCAGACATATTTTTACTGCAGCCTTGGCGCACTCTGCTGTCTGACTGCTGCGTGAGCGAGCCTCGCCTGCTACGCGCCCCTCCGCCAGGTGGACTGTACCATTTTATGCCGTGGTGGGGTAGGGGGGGGGGGGGGGGGGTGGTAAAATTAATTAGTCAAAATAAAGTAGGGACCTCTGAATAAATATACAGGTGCTGGCCAGTAAATTAGAATATCATCAAAAGGTTGAAAATATTTCAGTAATTCCATTCAAAACGTGAAACTTGTACATTATATTCATGCAATGCACACAGACCAATGTATTTCCGATGTTTATTACGTTTAATTTTGATATTTATAGGTGACAACCAATGAAAACATCAACTCTGGTATCTCAGAAAATTAGAATATTCTAAAGGCCAATGAAAAAATGTTTGTTTCTCTAATGTTGGCCAACTGAAAAGAATGAACATGAAAAGAATGTGCATGTATAGCACTCAATACTTAGTCGGGGCTCCTTTTGCCTCAATAACTGCAGTAATGCGGCGTGGCATGGACTCGATCAGTCTGTGGCACTGCTCAGGTGTTATGAGAGCCCAGGTTGCTCTGATAGTCGTCTTCAGCTCCTCTGCATTGTTGGGTCTAGCGTATTGCATCCTCCGCTTCACAATACCCCATAGATTTTCTATGGGGTTAAGGTCAGGCGAGTTTGCTGGCCAATCAAGGACAGGGATACCATGGTCCTTGAACCAGGTGCTGGTGGTTTTGGCACTGTGTGCAGGTGCCAAGTCCTGTTGAAAGGTGAAGTCTGCATCCCCATAAAGTTGGTCAGCAGCAGGAAGCATGAAGTGCTCTAAAACTTCCTGGTAGACGGCTGCATTGACCCTGGACCTCAGGAAACAGAGTGGGCCAACACCGGCAGATGACATGGCACCCCACACCATCACTGACGGTGGAAACTTTACACTGGACCTCATGCAACGTGGATTCTGTGCTTCTCCGCTCTTCCTCCAGACTCTGGGTCCTTGATTTCCAAAGGAAATGCAGAACTTGCTTTCATCAGAAAACATAACTTTGGACCACTCAGCATCAGTCCAGTCCTTTTTGTCCTTGGCCCAGGCGAGACGCTTCTTGCGCTGTTTCTTGTTCAAGAGTGGCTTGACACACGGAATGCGACACCTGAATCCCATGTCTTTCATGAGTCTCCTCGTGGTGGTTCTTGAAGCGCTGACTCCAGCTGCAGTCCACTCTTTGTGGATCTCCCCCACATTTTTGAATGGGTTTGTCGTCACAATTCTCTGCAGGGTGCGGTTATCCCTAGAGCTTGTACACTTTTTTCTACCACATTTTTTCCGTCCCTTCGCCTGTCTGTTAATGTGCTTGGACACAGAGCTCTGCGAACAGCCAGCTTCTTTAGCAATCACCTTTTGTGTCTTGCCCTCCTTGTGCAAGGTGTCAATGATTGTCTTTTGGACAGCTGTTAAGTCAGAAGTCTTCCCCATGATTGTGGTGCCTTCAAAACAAGACTGAGGGACCTTTTAAAGGCCTTTGCAGGTGTTTTGAGTAAATCAGCTGATTAGAGTGGCAGCAGGTGTCTTCTATATTCAGCCTTTTCAGAATATTCTAATTTTTTGAGATACCAAATTTGGAGTTTTCATTAGTTGTCACTTATGAATATCAAATTTAAATGTAATGAACATTGGAAATACATTGGTCTGTGTGCATTGCATGAATATAATGTACAAGTTTCACGTTTTGAATGGAATTACTGAAATATTTTCAACCTTTTGATGATATTCTAATTTACTGGCCAGCACCTGTACATTTCATAAAGACTAAAAGATTGTTTGTTTAATGTCTTAAGTGAGAAAAACTACTGCAAAGTAAAGTGCTTGTGATTTTTAAACTTAATTTTTTTTATTCAACTTTGAAACTTTTTTGGGCCCCTGACAGCTGTGGGCCCTTAGAATCTTCCTAATCTTTCACCTCTTTATGGCGCCCCTGAGCGTAGGTCTAAGATTTCTGCGCCCAAAAGTAACAGGAAATACGTCATAAGACGATTCGGTTGTGGTAAAAGTGTGAGAGGACATTTTTAAACTACACTTAAATGCAGATTAAACACAGTACTAATAATCTGTATGATCTTTAGTGTGATTTTCATCTTTTTGTTTATATTTTGTGATTCCGATCTCCTACTTTTCTTTTTCCTGTGAGATTGGTGGGGCGGCGTCCTAGCTAGTGCGCCCATGGATGAGCTGCCAGTGATCTTTTTTCTCTCTCTCTGTGTGTGTGTATGTGTGTGTGTGTGTGTGTGTGTGTGTGTATGTGTATGTGTATGTGTGTGTGTGTGTGTGTGTGTGTGTGTGTGTGTGTGTGTGTGTGTGTGTGTGTGTGTGTGTGTGTGTGTGTGTGTGTTTGTGTGTGTGTGTGTGACTATACAGGGTCACGTGCCACTCTTTGTTAATGCAACTGCTGGTTCCACTGTGTACGGGGCGTTTGATCCCATCAATGAGATTGCTGACATCTGTGAGAAGTACAACTTATGGCTCCATGTTGACGTGAGTAGCTGTCTTTATGTCTGGTGTGTGTGTGTGTGTGTGTGCGTGCGTGCGTGCGTGTGTGTGTGTGTGTGCATGCGTGCGTGCGTGTGTGTGTGTGTGTGTGCGTGCATGCGTGTGTGCATGCGTGTGTGTGTGTGTGCGTGCGTGCGTGTGTGTGCGTGCGTGCGTGCGTGTGTGTGTGTGTGCGTGCGTGCGTGCGTGTGTGTGTGTGTGTGTGCGCAGACCTTTTTATGAGCAATCTTTTGTCTCCTCAGGGCGCCTGGGGCGGTGGACTGCTGATGTCTAGGAAGCACCGCCATAAGCTAAACGGAGTCGAGCGGTAAGAGGGACAGATGAGCTAACGAGTGTTGTCTTTCGGTGACTCCACATCAGTGCATCAGTATGTTTCAAATGTTCCAGGGCCAACTCCGTCACATGGAACCCTCACAAGATGATGGGCGTCCCTTTGCAGTGCTCTGCCATCCTGGTCAGAGAGAAGGTACGAACAACACATCTCGATCCTCATCGAAGGACGAGAACCTTTAGAAATGTTTTTCTCAATCCATCATTTCTGCCCGTAGCAAACATTAATTGGTATTGTGTTTTATATACTAGCTGGAAATCTTGGTTTGTCATATTTGCTCAGAGGTAGAACCTTTGAAACTTCCTACGTTCCTAATGGAACGACCCCACATGTTTTTTTTGTTAGTTTTTTGAGGAGTGAGCATCACCTCATTCCTTCCATGTGAAAGAAAATAAAACATCACAAGGACCCCAAGCGTCCTGGAGGGGTCTCTCGAAAGGACAGCTGGAGGGTTAGAGCAGAAACGTGGAGGTTTTTCTCAGAGCGCACCCTCTAGAGGAAGACAAATGCATCACACCTTAAGCCCCTCAGTGCATCCCTGGAATGAGAAACAGCTAAATGTGTGAGGAACATCCAAACAATGAGCGAAACCCTCCAGAATTGTTTGTTGGCACCACTCATTCTGAGATCAAAGGTGGATTGGATTTTTGCACTTTCCCACAGTAATAAGTTGAATACCAAGTTTTACACAGTTGCGTGTAGAAGCTCCATTTGCAGTTACAACAGCTTGGTTCTTCCTCGTCATGCTGGTCGCACGGTCTTGCTGATCTCACCCATGCTCAGCAACTACCCACGCAATTCTCAACGTCTTGAGGAAAAAGGTGAAAAGTGTTCCAATCGTTTCTGTAGGGAATCCTGGCTGGATGTAACTCCATGTGTGCCGGCTACCTGTTCCAACCAGACAAACAGTATGATGTCACCTACGACACCGGAGACAAGGCCATCCAGTGTGGCCGGCACGTTGACATCTTTAAGTTCTGGCTCATGTGGAAAGCCAAGGTGAGACAGGTGGCTCTGGTGAGATCAAGCCTACGAAGAAAAGGGTGTTTTAAATTCATTTATTACACCTGAATGACATTTTCTCTCTCCAGGGCACCGTAGGGTTTGAGCAGCACATCGACAAGTGTTTGGAGCTGTCTCAGTACCTCTACAACAAGATCAAGAACAGGGAAGGGTATCAGATGGTGTTTGATGGAGTGGTGAGCGTCTCTTGTTCTCTGCTTGGGTCCTGTTGTTTAGAGTCAAAAGCTGATAAAAGAATGACAAATATTTATTTTGATCTTTTATTTGACCAAAATAAAAACAATCCTCCTGCTTGTGTGCGTGCGTGCGTGCGTGTGTGTGTGTGTGTGTGTGTGTGTGTCTGCAGCCCCAGCACACCAACGTCTGCTTCTGGTACATCCCACCCAGCCTGAGAGGAGTTCCCGACAGCCACGAGAGGCAAGAAAAGCTCCACCGGGTAAAAAGCCTTCTAGTTTCAAATCCAACCAGCACCGAGTTGTGTTTTCATTCACTTTGTGTGTTTGCTGCCAAAATACCCGAAGGGAATTTTAAATTAAAGTCTCTTTTAGGACCACAGCTACACAACACCAGACAAGGCTAGTTTATACTTCTCCGTTTACGCTGGTGCAGAGACCCACAATGCCTTTTTCCATTTGTGTTAAAAAGTTTCTGAAATACATAAATACAATGTAAACACACCCTCTGTTGTTTTATTTTTTACTGGAGGCTCCTCTCAAGGACCGCAGGACATTGATTTTTGTGTTCATCCTGCAGGTGGCTCCAAAGATCAAGGCCATGATGATGGAGTCGGGTACCACCATGGTGGGATACCAGCCCCAGGGCAACAAGGTCAACTTTTTCCGTATGGTCGTGTCCAACCCCGCTGTCACCCAGTCCGACATCGACTTCCTCATCGATGAGATCGAGAGGCTAGGCCACGATCTGTAGACCTGTGAGCCGACATGCATTAGGCGTGGTCTCGTCTTTCAAAGACAAACCGTGAAGCATTCAGAGTGCTGCAGACGGAAGAACGAGGTTTCATCAAGTCTTCGCCTGGAGCACTTTAAATGTTTCTGCTAGAGACTCGCTCATTATTTCAACAGAATCAGACGTGTGTGAGTGCGTGTGTGTGGTCTTTCAATGTGTAAATATATGTTACCTGGAATTTTAATGTATGAGACAGAGTGAGCGTGTGCCTGTTTGACAACAGAATGGGAGAAAAAGCACAGAACAGTAAAATATCACAAAGTTGTTTGCTGTGTCAAACATTAGCTTCTCATGACGAGCTTACAGTGTGTGTGTGTGTGCGTGCGTGTGTGCGTGCGTGCGTGTGCGTGTGTGTGTGTGTGTCTGTGCGTGTGTGTGCATGTGTGTGTGTGTGTGTGTGCGTTAGGGTTGTCACGATACTAAAATTTCAAACTCGATTCGATACTTGAAATAAAACTCGATACTCGATTTCGATACTATTTAAAAACACCAATTTATTGAACAAGTTTATTCAAAAAATAACATTCCTCAATTTATATTGCAAAAATTAAATGTTAAGAATTAAGTGTATAAAGTGCTTAAACCTTTCAAGTATCAGCATTTTTTAAAACGTGCGTACAAAAACTGGTGAAAGTTAACACTTTAAATCATGAATTGTCTCACTATATATACGCTATGTGCAGAGTGATGTTTTGCTGCTTAAACTCTGTTTAAGGTGCATTTTTGTCATAAGATGTAATGCCATATGTTTTGTTCTGTACTTTTGAACAACTCTGTTGGTCAATAAAGGGAGAAAACGAATTTGACAAAGGTACATCTACCGGTAATCTTAATAAAAACAGATTGGCGCACGGCAGTGACGTCATTAAAAGCACCGGTTAGATTAGCCGCGGCTAGTCTGTTCACGCCTAGAAATCACAGACTCGCTCCAAACGAACAGGGAAATCACGTTAATGATTCCTAACAAACCCTTTCGACATTGAGATGTTTTGGTGCAGATGTCTTATTTCGAGGCTGCACCATGGGTGCCCGTCCGCACCCGTTATATGGATATACACTGACGGCGATTCGCCGATGGATCTAAATACCCCGGGGAATCCAAGTAGCACCAAAGTTGTCAGCGTGAGTAAACAAACATACTGCATGCTAGACATTAAGTCCGGGTTGCAATAAACAGGAGTTTCCTTTAAGCACATAAGCGTGAATATACAACTACGTGTCGGACTTGGTATGCTAATTAAATTGGGCTGTGAAGCACCTCCCAAATTCGCTGTTTTTGTTTTTGTTTATTTATTTGGCAGACAAAACTTGGATCGGAGACAACTCGGGTGGGAAATTGCTATGTAGCCATGCGGTAGGGCTGCAACAAACGATTATTTGGATAATCGATTAATCGGATGGGGTCTCGACACGATTAATCGATTAATCGGATTACATAGGGACATTTTTAAAAACTGCTAGGGAAACGTTATTTTTCTCCTTCCCTCACTTTATTAAACACAACATTATTAGAAAACAGTTCAATAGCAGAAAAACAACATGCCATCACCTAAATTGTCTTATAAGGTGTATAGACAGAGACCCTAAGCTACACCTATCTGTGACCTAAAATGCTTGGTCCAAGTTAAACAGCTTAAAGAGCAAGTCAACCCCTACCAGAGTCCAACTCCACTCCCGCTTCATGTTTGAAAAATGCAACACATGCTGTTGCCTGGCAGACCGAGAGGGCGGAGCCGCTAACAAATACACACACACTCAGGGTCACGACAGCATTGTGACATCATAATGTACCAGTTTACATCATAGCATACTTCTTAGCCAATAGCGGTGGCAGATTTAAATTAAAATACAGTGCAGAGTTTTTACCTGACAACGGCACAACACTGCCAGTTTTAGGCAGAATATTTAAATTTTAACTAAGATGCACTGAAGTGCCAAATTATTGACGACACGTGTCTGCAGCATGATTAGACACTCGTTTATTTAGTCTATCAGCAAAAAAAAGTATTTGGGGGTGACTTGCTCTTTAAGGGCAATTCTCATCTGTTTTGTTTGATCTCATCTGTAGATATTTATTATAATTGGGGATGTCAAACAACTAATTTTTAAATGTAATTAAACATAGGCTGTGAATTAATCAAAATTAATCACTATTTCCAAAAATGACTGAAAAATACCAAATAAAACAAAAGTAAATGAATGCCATCCTCCTTGTGATGATGCCCTGGGCAACTGCCATAAAGTCACATCAAGAAATGCTGCTGATCATTCCAATGATCCCAAATAGACTCACATTAGGCCACATGAAAGCAACTGAACCCAAAAATATATTAACCAGTATATAACTGCACTCTCACACAACACGCCTGCAGCAACAGTTAGGACTCCTCCCTCCCTTTTAAAAGCATTTTCGCTTCTGAGGACATTGTGGTTGTAAAACCACATGCTAGTAGTCTGGCCCCGGTGTGATCAACCAGTTTCTGCGGGAATGTGACGGCGGAACCGGTTCGCAGCGGCGCGAGTCGTCCCACCCCACCCCCCCCCCCCCCCCCCCCCCCCCCCCGCGCCTATCTAATAGCGTCGCGCTTACAATTTTAAAGACTTTTTTTTTACGAGCTTAGGGCATGTCTAGCCTGTGTAATAATCCGGAGCTTGGGTGAATCACTTTTGAAAAGTTTTTAACTTACCCGGACACCGAGCTCTCTCCTTCCTCGCTGATGATTCTGACATGCTTGCGTTTAAGACGCTGCATCATCACCGTAGTATCCCCGTGCCATGCTAAGTCTGACCTACAAACGTTGCATGTCTTCGCCTGATTTAACTGAAAATGCTCCCAAACTTTAGAAGTTTTTACTTTTTGGGGGTCTCGCTGCTTCTGCCATGTTCCTCTTACAAACACCTGCTGGCTCTCCACCGGTCTGCGCGCAACGGCGGGCGGGAGGGGAGGGGGCATTTGGAAGAGTTGCGCAACACAACGAATCGATGACGCAATTCGTTGCCAACGCTTTTAGTAATCGATTTTCATCGAATTTATCGATTCGTTGTTGCAGCCCTACCATGCGGCGTCTTCTTCTTCTGTTTGTCTGGGAGGCGGAGGCTGCTTTACGGCATCTGGCTGTCGTGCGTGTCGGTGTACTTGAAGAAGGCTGTGTATAATAGTCCATAATATCGATACCACAGGGATGGAATATCTCATTTAGATACCACTTTTAGTATCGATTTATATCTAGGTATCGATTTTTTTGACAACACTAGTGTGCGTGCGTGTGTGTGCGTGCGCTCGTGTGTGTGCGCACGTGTGTGTGTGTGTGTGTGTGCGTGCGTGTGTGTGCGTGTATCCCATCACAAGCATGAAGAGGATCAAGGATCCTCTAGAAACAGTCTGCAATATTTTCCCTTATAGATGAAGTTTGTAACGTGTGTGAAACCTTCCACTTGTGAAACGGCTGGCTCGTTGTCTGCTCCATGCCCATAAGTGAGTATAAGACATTAATCAAGAATAATGATGATATAAGAACATATTTATTGCATTTCCACTGTCTGGTTCAGGTATATTATTGTACATGTGTGGTTATGCGTACTACATAGTAATACCGAGTAAAGTTTATTTATAGTGACTGTCTGCCAAAGAAAGAGATCAGGATCAGAGCTATCCATCGTCTTTTACATGCAACTTCTTATAGATGATTGGTGTTTGTAAATGTAACTTTTTGACCTTGAGACGTGATGCACTTTCTAAGGTTTATTTATTTCTACGGTTGAGTCTTTTTGACTGAATGTTCCGAGGCAAACGATGAGATTCTGGCTTGTATGGTGACTTGTATTTTAGCAAAAAGCACAAGGATGTGAGAATGTTCCCTCCTCTGGAGACGGAGACGAGCGTATTGTTGTGTTTGTCCTGATGCATCTACTGTAAAATAGTATATTTAACTGTAATACATGTTCTAGTCTCCGTGGAACAGGAGCCCGGTGAGTCATTTAGTATAAAGGTTCCTGGTTGTCTTTGCACAATGTTCACCTTTCTTTCTTCCATTGTAAATGGATGTTTGTTATATAAGAGACGTGTAAACAGAGTATCTATGGTGATTAGGGACCATATGTAAATGGCACAAAATGCAAAAATCCTGTGTCTGAGTTATGATGAGGCAACTGTAAGGAAACCATTCCTTGGGAGCGGTGTGTCCAGCAGGCACTTTAATAAAATTATAACATCGTGAAAAAAGAATATTGAATAAAGTCTATTAAATAAACAATAATGAGTGATTTGATTTCATGTCCAGAACACTCAGAATACACCGTTGCAGATTTCTGCTTTTTTCATGCATGTAGTAGCATGAACAACCTGTTTCAGGTCAAAGGTCAGACATTCTCCTTCAAAACCTCTTTTTTGAGGTGAGCACAATGTAGGGTTCCAACGATTACAGCAAGTCGTCAGCTCCTGAAGCAGCAAAGCAGCCCCAGACCATCACACTACCACCACCATGTCAGTGTGATGTTGATGGAACAAGACACGCACCTTCCAGAAGGTTCAGCTTGTGTGCTATCAATCTCCAGAATATTTACCCAAACGTCTAAATAAGAAGGAAGGCTGGATAACCTAAAGTGAGAAAGGGGAGAGGGAAGTCTGGGCCTTTCTGCTTAGGCTACAGCCCCCGTGACGTGACCCCGGATATGCAGCCAAAAATGAATGGATGCAGATAAAATTTCTCTCTTTATTCTTCAAAAGGTTTGTTTTGTATAATTTTAGCCTGTTCGAGCAACAAAAGTATGTATAATGCCACAGATGTTTGATGAAATCCCCTCACAGCATCTCAGCTTCAATTCACTGCTGAGCATGGTGGTGGAAGGTTAATGGTTTTTTTTGAGTCTTGTTCACGAGTGAGGGTAGGAGGGATCGGGAGATCGACAGGCGGATTGGATCGGCGTCTGCAGTGATGCGGACGCTGAGCCGATCTGTCGTGGTGAAGAGGGAGCTGAGCCAGAAAGCCAGGCTCTCGATTTACCGGTCGATCTACGTCCCAATCCTCACCTATGGTCATGAGCTTTGGGTAATGACCGAAAGAACGAGATCGCGGATACGAGCGGCCGAAATGAGTTTCCTCCGTAGGGTGGCCGGGCTCAGCCTTAGAGATAGGGTGAGGAGCTCGGACATTCGGGAGGGACTCGGAGTAGAACCGCTGCTCCTCCAGATCGAAAGGAGCCAGTTGAGGTGGTTTGGGCATCTGGTCAGGATGCCTCCTGAACGCCTCCCTGGGGAGGTGTTTCGGGCATGTCCTGCCGGCAGGAGGCCCCCGGGTCGACCCAGGACACGTTGGAGAGGTTACATCTCCAATCTGGTCTGGGAACGCCTTGGGGTCCTGCCGGAGGAGCTGGTGGAGGTGGCCGGGCAGAGGACAGTCTGGAGCTCCCTAGTTGGGAAGCTGCCCCCGCGACCCGGACCCCGATAAGCGGAGGAAGACGACGACGACGAGTAAAGGCTGATTCATGCTTCTCCGTCTGCGTCAGTGCGGAGACACGCAACGTCATAATCCGTCCTTGCGTAGGGCTCCGGCAGGCACGCAAGTACGTACGGAGTCGAGCCCACTTTTTTA